TACTGCTACAGTACTGGCTATAACCTCAAAGTCTACAATGTGTTTTATGGACTCAAAGGTTCATACATGTGTTGTTATAGCATGTGGAGAGTCACACACACACACAGCTATTTAGTCACTTTTCTTACAACTATTTAAAAGGTCATGGGCAGCATGTCTTGTGCTGTTAAAACCACAAGAGGAATGTTCTCTGATGTGGTCATACATCCTACACACTCACGTACTGTCCCCTACTGCATCCTGAGACATAAACACAGTCACATACCACACCACCGCATACATTAACACACACACACATACACACACATAACACTTCTTTCTTTAACACATAAACCTTACAGCTTTCCTGGAAAGCGGGATCGTCAGGTGGCATGTTGACGGCACAGGTGCTGCCGTTCTGTGCGACAGGCTTAGACTCACTGACACACATGCATGCCTGCCACACACATACACAGACACACTGTGTGTCTCAGCAATGATGTCATGGTTCTGTTTCTGGAGTGGATGGCATGTGTTTCAGTGTCTGTAGCCTGCAGTTGTCTCTTGCCACCTGACTGACTGCAGAACAGAGTGTGACACAGCTGTTCAGCCTTGTTTAGAATCATGAGCTATAGAACAGCTCTTTGATTCTAAATAAAATAAAGCTGCAATTTTTGCTCAAGTTAAAAAATTGTCATCTTGGGCCACACAGAAAGATATGGTTGACGTATTTAGGTTATTAGTCTCATCCCCTTTTAAGATTTTAGCCAACTGTATATTCGCCTCACACTCTGCAGACTGCTGAAGCCACATGAATACAGATACAGATAATCTTTGGTATGTGTTTTTGCACAGAACAAGAACTAGAGTTTCCCCCTCACCACTTCAACTGGAAACATGTTGGGGAGGGATTGTTTAATGGCCAGTGTGGACAGGAGGAATGATTACAACAAGAAAAACCTAGTTCATGTTTATATGGGCAGCTGATTTTTGTTTCAAAGTAATACTTCACCCTCCCAAATGACCATTTGTATATCAATGCATGGTACATTACATTCGTGAAAAAAACGTTTTTCTCACATGCCTCCACAGTGAACGAAGGATCCAAAAACAGAAAATTTGTGATGAATTGAAGTCATAGGGGTCCGCATTAAACAACAGCAAAATTGTATGAAAGTATCAGTTTACAAACTGTCACATAACTCGTGCAGTATAATGCAAGTCTCATTTACCCAGTCATGCTCAGTACTTCTAACACAGACAGCGCTTTCTGACAGAGAACTGAACTAAAAGTATATTTAGTATCACAGCCAGAATCCATTGACAAAAACAGCAATTTAACCTCACTGAACATGGGAGCTGCTGTTGTACCACTGCCTTGATCTGTAGATTGTTTGTGTTCTAAACTCTAAACCCTTTAAAACACCAAGGTCACACAATAACACAAACAAACTACTGTAAAACTTAAAATCATATCCTGGGCTATTATTTGCTTAAATCACTGAAATTTACAGGCCTGTATTTGGGACAAGCGTCTATATGGAACAAGTCTTTAATTCCTTTCACACAAAACTGTTGCTCAGCAAAGATGGTAAATACAACCAAACCATTAATTTAAAACAGTATGAATATTACTTGTATGAAAATTAGGCTTCAGATAATATATCAACAATGAATCATTGATTTGATCTAACTCTGACAGACAGTGCATCAGAGAGAGTTAGTTACGGTACTCAAGGATTATGGCACCCAGCATACCGACACAGTACCCCTTTATCCTGTTAAAACAGTACTCACAACTTGGATTAATTTGATTGAAAAACCCTTTTGATTTTTTTGAGCGCAGGACCCTTACATACTAAAGAAATATGAATAACTTACAGGGTAATCGAGGAACACACACATAATTTGAGGTAGACATATACTTCTGCCTACCTACCTTCTACCTAACTTCTTTAAAAAAAATGAACTGCTTGGCAACCAGACCACGAGTCTAATTGAGAAAGTCAAAATGTGTGGGACTGGGCGCATAATTGGAGCTAGCTTTTAATTCTAAAGTTTTATGGGATTTTTTGGCAATGGCTTTGAAGAGAGCATAGATAAGATTCACTTTTAGTTCAGTTCCCTGTCGGAAATTTGAGCAACATATTCTCATAACAGTTTGTGTGATATCCTACGAAAAATGCATGCCTAACAGTTGGTATGATACCCTACGAATTAGCACCCTACGAATGACGTTACATCCTTAACGTATAGTTACGTAATTAACGTAAAGTTACGGAGGTAATATTTAGGAAAAGAAACATGGTGAAGATGAACCTTAAAATGACTCAAAGTTCACACAGTTCTGAACACACGACTCCAGGGGAAGTCTCAGGGGAAAGTCTATCCACTGCCCCAACCTGCCTCTTTACAAAACCGCTCAGGACTGCTTCCTTTTTTACCTTTGTTAGTGCATTGACCACATGATTTAAAATATATGGGACATATTTGGGTGCATTACTTTTTGAAGGAAAACATATAAACAGTTTGTGACAACAGCCTGGTTGGGGAAGTGATGAACGTAAGATTGGATAAATGTGACTTGGATTATATTGCCCAGGTTGTATTGGAATTTGTAAATGGATGTGTTGATAGTTTCTGCTGTTAAATATGGATCCCTATGCCTTCAGTTGATCAACAATTTTTCTCCATTTTTGGATTTGAAGTTTTTGTCACAAATTCAACATAACACAGGGTGAGTAATTGATTTACAAATGATCAAATGAATTCTCAAATTGGTTAGTTGATTTTGACGCCCTCAACATAGTTTGTCCACTTTAATGCAATGCTTGTTTACAGCTTAGAACACACTGTCATACAGCAAAGGTGGTTGGTTCTGATTGGTTTCTGGGGTTCCAGCTGAAAAACTGTATGATTAAGCTACCATGTTTAGTCTCCTCTGAACTTGAAGGGTACTGAAATGGCAAGAAACATGCACAATGCACATAGTGTCAGAACCAGGGGTTAATGGGGTCCTAAGCTCTATTTGGTTTAGGGGCTTTCTGGCGGGTTAAATGCTGCAGTAACAAAAACATGAATAAGATACATCCTGGTGGAACACCTGTCTGAGACACAAACCATCAACCTACAACATCATGAACATCAATTAACTTATTTATTCATAGAGAGAAACACTTGAAATAAATGAGAAGTTAATTTACTCACTACCACTGATATCCAAGATCCTATGACTTCCAATATGGCTGTCAGGAAGTGTTCTACTTCACCTGAAAGACCTCTTGATTGTAGCTTGTGAGCAAAAGTGGGATATGATTGACATATAACACTGGCTCACTGGCACAGGTATCTCTTTGTAATGTGATGAATGAATGAAAGTAAAGAAATAAGAGCACAGGAGAGAGTTGGAAAGACAGTGTGATGCACTGTAGATGGGATTAGAGTTGACTTGTCTGAGACATATTTCATTGTGAGTGTTAGAATGAGTGCTAATGGCAGAGAGGTAGAGACAGCTGCTGTTAATGGTTCAGACCAGACTTTGTGGCTCCCCACAGTGAGGTACCATTAATGGAATGATCCAGACTGCTGGGAAGTCATTTTAGTACATGTAGTTAAATTATCAGCTGAACTACAGTTTACAGTAGCTTGGCTGCAGGTTGAACTGAATTCAACTTTGGAGGAAGTATTTTGCGACTGACCACTATTTTTACATGACAAATTGAAAGGAGAGGTATTTACATTTTATTAATTTGTTGTTTCAGTTTACCCCTGAAAGTATCATAGTGAAAGTGATATAATGAATACATATTTTCATTTCACTTTCAGTCATTACCAACGTTGCTTTCACCACTTTGTTTCTCAATCAATGGTTAGCAACTGCGCACACACACACACACACACACACACACACACACAAAGCCTATTCACACACATATACGCACACACGTGTGGCTTTTGAAAGCCAGACACAGTGGAAATAGTGACGAGAAAAGTACAGTGGATTTTTAGAGAGTGCTGCAACCAATTAGAGTTGTGAGAGTAAACCAAAACAAAAGCTGAGGGCCAAAAATTAGCTGAAAGAAGCTACAGTGGCATGCAAACGTTAGGCACCCATGGTCAAAATTTTATTTACTGTTAAGTGAGTAAAAGATGAAAGATCCGTGTATTATTTTTGTTTTGTAGGCCTACAATTTTGAAAAAAATGAAAGGAGCACCATGCAAAAGTACTCCAAGATATTTGACAACATACACAACTTTTACCAGGATCTCAGACCATAAGTAGTTTGTTAGAGTTTTGCTTGTTTACAATCATTGTTAGGAAAGGCCAGGTGATGCAAATGTCTAAGCTTTTTAAATAATCTGACTTCTAAAACCTTGTCCCAACAATCAGCAGCCATGGGCTCCTCTAATCTTTTAGCAGCAGTGGCGCTCATACAGGGGAAACACTGCAGGAAACGAAGAGAAATAAACTGATTTATGGCTCACTTTTTAAATAGCATACTTTTAAATCTTGAGCTAGGGGAAAGTTATCAAGTCCAAGCGAAGTCACTGGTGTTAAAATCCAAGTAGACAAGTCCTTTTGATTTTATCAAGTCAAGTCTAAAGTCATCAGATTTGTGACTCGAGTCAAAGTCATGTGACTGGTATCAACTTTAAAACCAGAAGTCTCATGTGTGTCCATAGCAGCCATCTTTATGGGAGCTTTTACATATTTTGTTCAAGACATGGCTGAGAGTTAGGACTGAGCAAAATGCTGCTTCGAAACATCATAGCAGTGAGCTTTTTCAATCACCAAAGATCAGATACAGCCAACGTAAGAGACACTGCACTGATTCTGTTTTCATTTCAGCAATTGACAAAGTTTCAACTAGTGATGGAACAACTCTGACACCAAGGTTGCATCGTTTTCTTACTCAGTAATCCTGAACTCTCCAAACTGTTGAACACCAAATTGATCGGAGGACACTGCTCCACCAAAGGTTTTCTGTCTTTTCTCATATTACCAAATTGTCTAAGCTTACCTTCAAATGACGCTGGAGTCAGAAAGTTTCCTGGCTGCAGGTGTTCATCTTGTATTTTAATCCCAAGGCATGTTGAGAAATGTCCTCTGAGCTGAGCCAACATATGATATTCTGTTTATCAGGGATGAAGCAGCCCTCAGCATGCCTCCCATACTGCAGACTGAGGGACAGCCATAATAAGGACACTGCCCCTCACTGCTCACACTAATAATCACTGTGATGATGATAGTCTGTGGGATCTAGAGGGGGGTTGGTGCAGGAGGGAAGAAAGTGAAAAGGAAGGGATGAGATATTGTGGGAGGTAAAAAAAAACCCAATAATTTAGGGGATGGACAAAACACCTTGAAGAATGCACATAACTAGAGACCTTCTTGTGATGGGATCAGACCAGCCATGATACAACGATCCTACATTAAGAATTCCAATATATCATTCCCATGGGCTAGGAAGGTTCAATCAGTATTTGTGAACATGAGCTGCTCTCTCACAAAGCCCAAAACAAGAGAAGGAAGTTTCAAACTAGTGATGTCATAGAGTATAAAGTCTGGAGAAACCTGTTGTTGTTTTAGCATGTCATTGCTGTGTATCCAGTGGCTTTTTAGCCCCCAAACATGGGTGTTTTTAGTGACACGTGGCTCTTTTTTCAGCAATTTTCTAGCAACCAATGTATGTGTTTTTAAGCACCCATCAATGGGTTTTCAGTGGCTTTTTAGGCGCCAAACATGGGTGTGTTTTAGGACCTGTCACAGTTCTTCCTGCAGCTTTTTAGCACTCAAACATGGATGTTTTTTCATGACCCTTAGCTCTTTTCTCACCAACTTCCTAGCAACCAAATGTATGTGCTTTTTAGGGACCCATCACTGGCTTATTTGCAGCCCCCGAATGTGGGTGTTTTGTAGTAACATGTCACTGTTTCTCCAGCTGGGATAGTGCCACAAAAAGCCGAATCTGACATAGGCTTTTCCCATGACTTTTCTTCAGAACAAATTGAGAAAAAAAACCTTTGGAAGATAATGGTGAATGGTGAATAAAATACATTTTAAAAAAGGAGTAAATTTTCTTGTATCTTTACATATACTTAGCTAATGAAAGGGATTCTAATGCTGATCATCTAGGCCTGTGCAGCTCAACTTTTTATTGTTAAGCTATCTTGGAAAAAATATTTTGATCTTCTGTCTCTTTTCACGGCTAAACTCAAGGGACAGAGACAAGGGACAGGGACAAGGGACAGAATAGACTTTAAAGAAAGCTTACAGCTGAAACACAGTTGCTGAATGCACCCAAGGAAGACATCAAGTTGAAAAAGAGAATGTTGGACATGATGGAGGGGGTCCATGTCATTGGTCCGACCTCTCATTGTTCCGACCTCTAATTAGTCCGACGTCCCGTTGTTCCGATATGTGATTATACTAGGCTATACTGTATTTGTGTACCATAGAGGATCAGCAACGCAACAAAAGTAGGCTACTGGTCGAGATACAAGTGTCATAGAGAGAAGAGAATGAAACACCATAACCTCCTGTTATTAACTCTGGGGTCGGGGTTGTGTGGGGAGCTCTCCGCGGTGCTGAACGGCTCCCAGCGGGCGTATTTCTGCTTGATGGTGTGCCGCGACCGGCTCTGGGTCAGCTGGGAAAGGCTTGAGGCGAAGCAGGCTCAGTCTTATGTGTTTGCCACTTTCTTTTTCATTTTAACCCACACCATGATCTTTTCCTGACCCTAACCAAGTGGTTTTTGTGCCAGAACCTAACCAGACCTTAACCACAGGGCATCATGATGATTTCTGAACAACGGGACTTCGGAACAATGAGTTTAATATGGTCGGAACAATGGGATGTCGGACCAATGGGCTGTCGGACCAATGGGCAGTTCCCAATGGAGGCAGGAGACTTCTCATTTAGTGGCAAGCAGCAACACCGAAATTCAAGGGTGCTAACGGTGAGTTATGGCTTTTTTTTTATGATTCAGTGTTAACCTTGTATATTAAAAGAAAATCTCCCCTTTCTCTTGTAATAATCCATACAGTTTGTGGATGGTTGCTTTATTTCCCATTTTAAGAATTTATTTGCTAATAATTTTTAAAAAAAGAGTTAAATTAGTTGAATAATACAAATGTCCCAGGATTAATATGAGACATAATGCTGTGAACTATAGCTGCTGGCTGGTTTGATCAACTAACACACACACACACACACACACACACACACATTGCAGAGAAGACCATGGCTTCAGTGGCCAACAGAGAGAAGGACTGCAGTTCCTTTTATGGATCAAAGAATTCAGTGAGCACGCTCCTGACCCTCTCCCCTTTTGCTGTGATGCAGTCGGCTCTGAAATAAGTCTGTGTGGCTGGCTGGTTGTCCTTGTCATGCTGAATTACCTCCATGACTCTGTTCTGTACCATCGTGTCCTTGGTGGCCTCACAGTAGCTATGGAGCATGTAACAGGCGTAGATAACAAAGGGAAGGTCCTGTATATTAATGATCATCGCCCTTCTCAATGCTCCAAACCACGCTTTCAGTCTGCCAAAAGTGCATTTAATGACCATTCTAACTCGACACAAGCTGGGTTTCCAAATTTTAAACAAATTTCCTGAAAATCTGCATGAGAAAATGTGAACTTACGTGCTATTCCATCCACTACTGCAGGCTGCTCTCATGCATTGTTCATACGTTTGTTTTCCTATGAAAAGTAATTCACCAATATTTGTACATATCCTACTTAATTGCACACCTGTAAGTCATGCATAGCCCACGTATTTTGGAAAGGTGCAATCAAGCGACCAGTCGGCTGATAGAAGTAAAGAAGGAAGTGGTCCCAAGCGGTCCAGTAAGGGACATTCCCCCCAGGACATTCCCCAGGAGACCTGTGTTCAAAACCATGTGAACTTTAAGTAATTTTTAAATACGTCATCATCATGTTTCTTATCCTAAACCTAACTACACTAACTTTATTTGACTAAACTAACCTCTGTAACTTTACGTTAAGTGACTTTATGTTAGTGACGTAACATTATTCATTTACTAGTAACAATTCATACAATATTTTTTGGACTGTTATGTGGGCATTTTTATTGGATATCATACGGACTGTTGTATGAGGATACGTCAACCACTCTTACATGAATACTGGGAGATATGCAGTATAAGCATTTTTCAAATATGTGTTCAGCATGGGATTTGCAAAAAATACGGGCGTCATGGACACTACCATGACTGCCATTTCACTATGACATCAATAAAGGAACACTTGTAGTCGTACAGTACTTATATTTTAAGAGGAAACCTCCACTTTCTGTTTAAGTAAACGGTCGAATTTGTGGATTGCTGCTGTATTTCTACATGGGTCCCATCCACAGCGCAGGTGCACTGAGGGATGCCCAGGGCTCAGTTAAACCTGGCACAAGTTCCTCTTTTTTGGACTCAATGACAAGTAACTCTAAATACACAAGGTCCAAGTAGACTGTAAAGTTCACATACCTTCCTTACTATTTTCAAAACCACCTGTCTTGATAATCCAAATGCATTTTCAGACAGCCCTTCAGTGTGCAGGCAAAGCAGCTCACTCAAAGACAATGGACATATCCTCATCATATTGAAATTTTCTCGCCATTCTTCAGCAACAACCACTTTGTTCTTAATGGTGTCCCACCAACTAGAGCTCTTGTCCAAATCAGGTGATGCTGGCAGCAGGGTCTTTGTCTTGGGAGTGTTTGATTATTTGGTAGTGATCTCTGTAGCTCATTCTGGCACCTCTGTTCCTCAATATAGTGTAGGAGTAACTGTGCGTCTACATGTAAAGATGTAAAAAGTCCTGTTAGCAAGGTTAGAACCAGCACTACTTTGGCTACGTCTGCCATTGCACTAAATGTTGTCCCCTTTGATACACTTCACAAAGGAGATAACACACTGACATTTTCCCTGTCTACACATCAACACTGAAATCAAAGTTTCTGAAAATCTTGACCTTTGACCCTACTACTCTAGAAATGGCGTTTTTGGGATAGTAGTTCTTCCGGTTGTAGAGTTGTCAAATAGGGTCGTAAAATAGTTCATCTACTGAATATATCAAATATCTAGTAAACTATCATTCTTCTTCTTCTTCTTCTTCTTCTTCTTCTTCTTGTTTAGGGGAAATTATAAAAGAGAAATATAATTGCAGTTTTAATAACGCAAGGGGAACAATTTATCCTCTAATAACTATAATCTAACTACCTCATTACATCATAATGACGGTTATATCACACACAATTCAATGTTTTTAGAGCACAAACAATCATAACTAATGCACTATAATAAATTCAGTCAAATGACGATAAAAATAGGGATAAAATAGTTTTCTAAACTAGAAAACAACATTAACCACCGCTCATTGCGTGACGTTGTTGAACCAGGGAATTTGTGTGTCCACCACAACAAAGGATCCTAATTGACTTTACATTGGCATTGTTTCCGTGGAACCGGCATGTAATTTTAACCCATTACGTGCTACCACCACAGAATGCGATGTTAAGAGGTCGTGGTCATTTCATGTATTTCTGTGAGCTCGGGTTCATCAGATCCACCCCTCGCTCCTCCACAGCTCTACCCTCTTATCCAGATATGGTCACTTCTGGCTCCAAAAAAATAAGACGGCGTCAGCTGAAATGCTGCACTGAGGATTTCAAAATGTCAGTGGGTGATGTCATGGTAACTACGTCCATTATACAGTCTATGGTTTAACTCATGGTAGCTAGCTGGCTTCTACAGGACACAGCTGTAAAGTTCAGGCTAAAACACAGCTGGGCACTAAACTACAGCCTGGGTATTCAACAGTGGGCTCATAGTCGCTAATTAGCTCAAGCTAATTTATACAATGTAAAATGCCATAGGCATTTGCTAATAACGTTAGCATGTTGTATTTGTGGAAAAAATGTGTTCGGATTAACACAGGTGTTTGTCTGTGAATGCTGCGAGTTATAGTGAAGCCAATTTGTGTACTTAAGCCATATTTAATGTGGTTTGGGTGTGTTTTGAATTAGCTCAACTTTACAGCACTTCACAGAAACCTCAACCGCCGACCAGTGTTTTGGAGGTGTAACTGCAGAGTTACATAGGCACACCACCGCACAAGTAAAAATGCTCACAACGGCGTAGGCGAC